GATGTACCGATTCCATGGCACATGGTTTATGAACTGATTTACAAAACGACGCCGGATTCAAAACTTAAAGAGTTTTTCAATTAAAATTATTATACAAAATTATTGCAACCAATAGAATGTCATCTATATGGGAGATACAACTATCCCAGCTCTGCAGATTTTTCTACGAAGAGACAGAATCCTTAGATCACTTGTTTTGGTACTGCCCATATGTAGCTTGGTTTTTGGTCACAGGTTCAGGAATGGCTGAAAAATTGCAACATGGGTGATTTGAAAAGTCATAGTCAATCGATCAATATAATAATACTCTAAGCAAAGGTGTTTATCTTTAATTTACAATCTGTAGAAACTATGAGAATAGAAAGGTTCAGAACCTTTGTGAAACATCACAGTACAGTAGAAAAATGGCAGCTAGAAATCAAAACAGGATGGTCTTCAGAGATGGGAGGGGTTGAGGGTAGCTGAAGGCTGGGACTAAAAACAAACAAAAGATAACTCATGTAAAATATACTGTCTGTGAAATGTTGGTAGTATGTTTAAGCTGTAAGTGGAAGCCTAAGTATTGTTGTCCATTACCCCCCCCCTCCCCCACCACCCCATTAAACAAAATAAAAAATAAAAGTGGTTGTCCCACTGGCTATCATAAGTTGAATGCACCAATTTGTAAGTCGCTCTGGATAAGAGCGTCTGTTAAATGACGTAAATGTAAATGGTTGGTAGGGTTAGGGGAAAATAATAAAGGATATATATATATATATTAGGGGTGTAACGATCCATCTACTACATCGATGTATCGATTTATATTCCTATGATCCAACTACATCGATCTGTGCTCGGCGAGTTGGCCTTTTGGACAACATATATCGATCTAACATCGTTTTAAAATGTAATAAATCGATTGTTTCGATACTAGGAAATAACCCATTGGATTTAAGCACGTCAGACTTTATATGGATGTTTTTTCTTAGCACTTTTAATGATAAAGGCTTTAAACATTACTCGATTCAGTCTGCCTATCCGTGACGTCATCGCGCCAACAGCAGCGCAAAGGCGCAAAGACAACAAAACATAGCATGGCGGACGACAGAGGAGAAGCCAACGAGCGAGAAATTATCAAGCCACCATTGCGGTCCTTACAAGAAACAGGAATCTAGGAAACTTCACCTGCACTGTCCAGTATTTATTTCAGTCACACTGGTTGAATTTTTGGCTAAAAGGTTACTGAATCGATTTCAAGTCACTGAATCGTTTCGGATCGTATCGTTCTAAATGAACCAATATCGTCCTTGAATCGTATCGACAACCACAAATAGTGATACAAATCGAATCGTTGTTAAAACGAATCGTTACACCCCTAATATATATATATATATATATATATATATATATATATATATATATATTTAAAATAATATATACAGTACCAGTCAAAAGTTTGGACACACCTACTCATTCCAGGGTTTTTCTTTATTTTTACTATTTTCTACATTGTAGAATAATAGTAAAGACATCAAAACTATGAAATAACACATATGGAATCATGTAGTAACCAAAAGAAGTGTTAAATATATTTTATATTTGAGATATTTCAAAGGTGCCACCCTTTGCCTTGATGACAGCTTTACACACTCTTGGCATTATCTCAACCAGCGTCATGAGGTAGTCACCTGGAATGCATTTCAATTAACAGGTGTTTCTTGTTAAAAGTTAATTTGTGGAATTTATTTCCTTCTTAATGCGTTTGAGCCAATCAGTTGTGTTGTGACAAGGTAGGGGTGGTATACAGAAGATAGCCCTATTTGGTAAAACACCAAGTCCATATTATGGCAAGAACAGCTCAAACAAGCAAAGAGAAATGACAGTCCATCATTACTTTAAGACATGAAGCTCAGTCAATCCGGAAAATTTTAAGAACTTTGAAAGTTTCTTCAAATGCAGTCGCAAAAACCATCAAGCGCTATGATGAAACTGGCTCTCATGAGGACCGCCACAGGAAAGCAAGACCCAGAGTTACCTCTGCTTCAGAGGATAAGTTCATTAGAGTTAACTGCAACTCAGATTGCAGCCCAAATAAATGCTTCACAGAGTTCAAGTAACAGACACATCTCAACATCAACACCGCGTGAATCAGGCATTCATGGTCAAATTGCTGCAAAGAAACCACTACTAAAGGACACCAATAAGAAGAAGAGACTTGCTTGGACCAAGAAACACAAGCAATGGACATTAGACCGGTGGAAATCTGTCCTTTGGTCTGATCCCCCTCTATCCCTCTCCACCTTCCTGTCTTTGTGAGACGCAGAGTAGGTGAATGGATGATCTCCGCATGTGTGGTTCCCAGCATGGAGGAGGTGGTGTGATGGTGTGGGGTGCTTTGCTGATGACACTGTCAGTGATTTATTTAGAATTCAAGGCACACTTAACCAGAATGGCTACTACAGCATTCTGCAGTGATACGTAATCCCATCTGGTTTGCGCTTAGTGGGACTATCATTTGTTTTTCAACAGGACAATGACCCAACACACCTCCAGGCTGCTTAAGGGCTATTTGACCAAGAAGGAGAGTGAGGGAGTGCTGCATCAGATGACCTGGCCTCCACAATCACCCAACCTCAACCCAATTGAGATGGTTTGGGATGAATTGTACCGCAGAGTGAAGGGAAAACAGCCAACAAGTGCTCAGCATATGTGGGAACTCCTTCAAGACTATTGGAAAAGCATTCCAGGTGAAGCTGGTTGAGAGAATACCAAGAGTGTGCAAAGCTGTTATCAAGGCAAAGGGTGGCTACTTTGAAGAATCTAAAATCTAAAATATATTTTGATTTGTTTAACACTTTTTTGGTTACTTTCATATGTGTTATTTTATAGTTTTGATGTCTTCACTATTATTCTACAATGTAGGAAATAGTAAAAGTAAAGAAAAACCCTTGAATGAATAGGTATGGCAAAACATTTGACTGGTACTGTATATGTTTACAAATAAATATGGTGGATTGCAAATTATGCAGACAATTACAGTTATAGAAGCCACAATCTATCTGCAATATTAAAGCTTATCACCCCCTAAAAAAACAACAACATAAAAATACTAATAAATCAGTTGATAACTTTTTTTCAAATCCAACGTATTTTCCACGTAGATTCCACGTAACAATAAGTTGACAAATTACGTTGAAACAACGTTGATTCAACCAGTTTTTGCCCAGTGGGTTACTTCTGAGTGTTTCCTTCTCTCAGTCGGACACACTCTATAGTGACGGCGGCGGTGGACTGTCCCATCTCCGTAGCCGGATGGCGAGTGTCATGTTGCCGGGCAGATAATAGGATTCGCCTCATTGAGCAAGCTTATTGGATATTCATCACAACTATAAGTGGTGTTCTAAATTGAACGCAATCCGTGTTTTTTTTCCGCTGAGTGCCTTTATTACATTAGGTGGGAAGAGCTAGATAGCCGAGACAATATTGTGGTCGCTCATGCATAACCGGTGCTTATAGCTCGCGGGAGATCACATTTCAAATCCCTCCCGAAACGCTCTCAGGTGGCTCGCGTTCCTGGCTTCTGTGGGGCCTCGATGAGGACAAATTAGTGAATTAAAAGGACAACCTTTCGCTTTTTGGGCTACAAAGCCCAGAGTTGGCGCTAATTGAAATCTTCAATCACAGAAATAGTGCGAGTATAGAGGAAATCAAAGGAGCGGTGGCAGCCAAACTGACCATCATTCAGTAGCTCTATGATGAGCCTGTCTAGATCGGTGAGTCTGTTCTTTCTCTCAAAATAAGCCGATCTGAAGTGAATGCTCAGTTCTTCATGTTCAACACAGTACAATTCAGTGACTCCACAGTTCTAACTCACTGCCTTTGTAGCGGTGGTGGTTCGAAACTACACTTGCGTGATGAGTAACCTTGCTTGAGACCTGAACTTGCATTGGCCCCCCAATATTTTGCCCAGGCTTCACCCCAGTGGGCTAGCAGTCTTCAAACCCCTGTCCATCACACTTCCACCACAGGATGCTGCTGAGGGGAGTACGGCTCATAATAATGTCCGAAATGGAGCTAATGGAATGGCATCAAACACAAGGAAACCATGTGTTTGGTGTATTTAATACCATTCCACTAATTCTGCTCAAGACATTACCACGAGCCTGTTCTCCCCAATTAAGGTACTACCAACCTCCTGTGACCTACACAATAAACACACTTAAATCTGAATAAATTACTTGATTCTTACACACCAGGTAGGATTATTTTTGTATCAATATCTCAAAAGAGAACCTGAATTGAATCAGATCAGAGAGTCTGAGAAAATACATTTTCCGCCACTATTGACAATCTTATCCCCACCACCGGAGACAGACGTTCCTTTATGTGAGGCCAAGTGTCTTTGGAACGATAAGCGTTTCATTTTGCCCGTGGTCCTTGGGTGCGATTGTTTGGGAGCTGGCAATCCTTTACCTGTATCAGCGCTGTGACTGTGGAGTATAGGAGGGGAGAATGATTCTGTCTCACTAGGTGACTCTATTCTCACCCTGAGAGGAGCAACAGTTCTGTATGCCACCGATCGATAAACCCCAGTGCCTGGCCTAAGAGAGCCTTTACACTGTGGCTCTGTATGGGGCTTCTCATCCTTTACACAACTGCTGTATGGCTGCTATTGTAGAAGGGACCAACTGTATATGGTTGGATAGGCTTTGGATATGGATAAAACGAGAGCAGGTAGCCGTACTGAATGCCACGCTATTCTTCATTAGTCTGCTCTGAGATCAGGCCCGGCTGCTACTGTGAGAGGAAAAATATGTCTGGGTAGGTTTTGTTTTAATGGTTCTGATTTGTTGAGCTTTGTTCCTTCAGAGAACCAAGGTTACATATATAACTGAACGTTTTGGGGAGAGTAGGTATGCTATGCTAGCTAGATGGCTAACTCTTCGTTCACCACTGCATATGACTGGATAGGCATTAGCTACAGTGGAAGGTAAAGAAGGTAGCAATATGCTACGCTACAGCTACTCACCATTCACCACCACCTCGATGTCGACAAAGTCGATCTCGCCACGGGCCTCCACTCGCGCTTCGCAGCGGTACACGCCCTCGTCCGCCTTGGTCACCTTGTGGATCTGCAGGTTGTTGTTGGGCAGCACCTGGAACCTGCCTTCACAGGAGAGAGGGCGGAAGAGAAAGAGAGGGGGGGGGGGGGGGGGGGGGGGGGGGGGTAGAGAGAGCGATAGGGAGTGACAAGGGGAGCGATAGAGAGAGATAGAGGGGGACAGACAGAGAGAAGGGGGGAAGAATATAGAGAGAGGGATAGCGCATGAGAAAGAAATAAAGAAAGAAAGAAAGGTGGAGAGAGAGTTAGAAAGAGACAGAGGAAATAAGGAAATAAAGATACAAGGAAAATGAAAGAAAGGAAAAAGAGTGAAAGGAAGTCACATGACTCCAGTCACATACTTGCTATCAAATAATATTTTCATAAACCTTTACCACTTTCACCTTTTTTAAATAAAGTTAGCTAAGCGAAGTGAGATAAATACATTAGCAATTAGGTCTGCAGTTCACAAACAGTTTCCCATCCTTCTCCATTGTCACTGGCAGATAAGTGAGAACCTTATCTCTCTCTGTCGAGCGCAAAGATATTTATAACCTTGTCCCGTAATTAGCGTGGAATTTTTAAAAAACACAGCTATCTCTACCTTTAATCATTACCGAACGGCAAGGCGAGATAGTGTGTCGAAGGGAAGGGCCTTTGAATTTCAATTAAAAAACCTGACTACTTTCAAAGGTTTCAAACAAATCATTTTCCTAATCAGCCCAGGAAGTCTGTCTCTGTGATGGGTGGATGAGGGGGAAAGTGTAGCAGGAGGAAAAGTAATGATGGGGTGACAGAGTATTGGTAAACAAGTCTGAACCTACAAATTAACTTCTGTCCATCATGCAGGAGCCATGAATGTGTTTCCAATAGTCGAAGATACATTTCATTCCTTCTCCTTTCTTTCTCAGCCCAAAGATGTGTTCCAATAATCTAAGATACATTACTTTCCCTCTCCTTTCCTTCTAGCCCCAGAATGTGTTCTAGTAGTCTAAAATCACTTTCCCTTGTCCTTTCCTTCTAAGCCATAGGATGTGTTCCAATCTAAGACACTGTTCTTTCCTTTCCTTTTAGGAGCAATGATCTGAAAGGACTCATTTAATGAAGAAAAAGAAAAGTAGAGAAATATGGTGGAATAATTTCCTGTGCTGTCACTTAAAGTATCAGTGTTCAAGACAGAAAGAATACCCCCTTCATATCCCCACATACTGTATGTCAACATAAGCACACAAAAAAGAAGTGAAGAAATAATAAATTAATTAAAGTGAAAATAAAATAAAATAAATCAGGTGGAATAATGTCCTGTACTGTGACTTTTCAGTGGCCATGAGAGAAGGAAGATCTTCTTTCCAACAGATCTTAACAACATGGCAGCGAGCATCGGACCACCGACTGACATTTGCATCCTCTACTCTCCATCTTCTAGGCAAGCTTGTTAACATGTTGTATAGTTCAAACATACTTTTAATGAAATCACATGCTGCGGCTTTTAATGCTAGAACTTGCTATTTATAGCATCAAACCCCTGACAGAATCTGAGGAAAACATTTTTCATAACATTTGTGTGTTTACATAGGCATACATCCCAAATGGCACCCTATTCTTATATAGTGCACTACGATTGAACAGAGCCCATACAGTGGCTTGCGAAAGTTTTTTACCCCCCTTGGCATTTTTCCTATTTTGTTTTCTTATTACCTGGAATTAAAATTGATTTTTGGGGGGGTTTGTATCATTTGATTTACACAACATGCCTACCACTTTGAAGATGCAAAATATTTTTTGGGGTGAAACAAACAAGACATAAGACAAAAAAACAGAACTTGAGTGTGCATAACTATTCTCCCGCCCCAAAGTCAACAGTTTGTTTATAGAGTCACCTTTTGCAGCAATTACAGCTGCAAGTCTCTTGGGGTATGTCTCTATAAGCTTGGCACATCTAGCCACTGGGATTTTTGCCCATTCTTCAAGGCAAAACTGCTCCAGCTCCTTCAAGTTGGATGGCTTCCGCTGGTGTACATCAATCTTTAAGTCATACCACAGATTCTCAATTGGATTGAGGTCTGGGCTTTGACTAGGCCATTCCAAGACATTTAAATGTTTCCCCTTAAACCACTCAAGTGTTACTTTAGCAGTATGCTTAGGGTCATTGTCCTGCTGGAAGGTGAACCTCCGTCCCAGTCTCAAATCTCTGGAAGACTGAAACAGGTTTCCCTCAAGAATTTCCCTGTATTTAGAGCCATCCATCATTCCTTCAATTCTGACCAGTTTCCCAGTGAGAGGTGTTGGGTTTGCACCAGACATAGCATTTTCCATGATGGCCAAAAAGTTCAAATGTAGTCTCATCTGACCAGAGTACCTTCTTCCATATGTTTGGGGAGTCTCCCACATGACTTTTGGCGAACACCAAACATGTTTGCTTATTTTTTTCTCTAAGCAATGGCTTTTTTCTGGCCACTCTTCCATAAAGCCCAGCTCTGTGGAGTGTACGGCTTAGTGGTCCTATGGACATATACTCCAATCTCCACTGTGGAGCTTTGCAGCTCCTTCAGGGTTATATTTGGTCTCTTTGTTGCCTCTCTGATTAATGCCCTCTTTGCCTGGTCCGTGAGTTTTGGTGGGCGGCCCTCTCTTGGCAGGTTTGTTGTGGTGCCATATTCTTTCAATTTTTTAATACTGGATTTAATGGTGCTCCGTAGGATGTTCAAAGTTTTGGATATTTTTTTATAACCCAACCCTGATCTGTATTTCTCCACAACTTTGTCCCTGACCTGTTTGGAGAGCTCCTTGGTCTTCATGGTGCCGCTTGCTTGGTGGTGCCCCTTGCTTAGTGGTGTTGCAGACTCTGTGGCCTTTCAGAACAGGTGTATATATACTGAGATCATGTGACAGATCTTGTGACACTTAGATTGCACACAGGTGGACTTTATTTAACTAATTATGTGACTTCTGAAGGTAATTGGCTGCACCATATCTTATTTAGGGGCTTCATAGCAAAGGGGGTGAATACATATGCACGCACCACTTTTCCGTTATTTATTTTGTATAATTTTTTGAAACAAGTTATTTTTTATATTTCAGTTCACCAATTTGGTCTATTTTGTGTTTGTCCATTACATGAAATCCAAATAAAAATCAATTTAAATTACATGTTGTATTGCAACAAAATAGGAAAACCGCCAAGGGGGATGAATACTTTTGCAAGGCACTGTAGGGCTCTGGTCAAAAGTAATGCACTACGTAGAGAATATGGTGCCATTTGGGACACAACCATATTTTACAGTATAGCACATTTATTCAACTGATATGTCTTGAAATGGTGTGTGAAGCAATCTGACATGTAAACTGAATTCTTTTGATGTTCCATTTTTTTATGCACTAGCAAACCCGTTAATTGGCTTCTGAAATCAATGATAATGTAATTATCAGCTGCTTCATTAAAAGTAGACTGTAAAATACCATCAAAGAGTGGGCCCATAAAAAAAAAAACCTGCATCCAATGACATGTTCACATGAAAATATCACTTGATTTCTATATGGTCTGTACTGCTCAATAGATAACTTTTTTCAAGAGTCAAGTTATGTTGCTAATATGGTAGCCACAGTATGCACGTTACAAAGTTATGCTTTAATTAACCAACTGGTAATTAGGTACTTATTTTAACAAGCAAACAAGGTTTACCAGCACATCAACAGAGGCAGCATGCATCAAATGACCATAAGCAGACTTACTGTAGTGCTCCTCTGTGATCTCCATGCTCTTGAAGCCCTTTTGGTAGAACCAAGAGACCACGGGCGCCGGAGAGGCGATGACATAACACACCACCTCTGCCACCTCGCCGTGACGGAACTCCTGGGGGGACCTCACGTCGTGGAACGTCAGCTTCTCTGTCACATAGGAAGTGAGGTAACAGGAAGTGAAGTCACATTAGAGACATGTCTTTCCAAAAGAGGTTATGTTCCAATATTCACACAAGTATACCATTTAGAATGCATAGCCAATACATCGCCTCATTCTAAGTAGTATGCGAGGGTGGACTTTGGAACAGAGCCCAAGTAATGTGTATTGATTGAGGTACTGATAGATTGATTTAGTGATTAATGGAATGACCATGAAACAAGAAGAGGTGTCTGTTTGTAATGTATTAGTTTCCTATCATAAAGCTGGCTATGCTACATCCACCATGTTGATTGCCCCCCCCCTGCATGTTTTCATTTCTTGCCGTAGCACTTGACAGCTGTTTACTCATTAATAAGATTTGATTATTTCAATCAGCTGTGTACTGCTAGGGCAAAAAACTAAACGTGCACCCAGGGGGGGCCCCAGGACCGAGTTTGGGACACCCTGAAGTGGAGTACAGAGTAAACTCCATTCTATAGAACAAACTGTTCTACTTATTGTCTATGGTTCTACACCACTGAAACAACTCAGATTCTATGTGCTCTAAAATAGTCCCATAAACATTCCCACAGCATATTGAATGAATCCTACCACCCCGAAAGTTCTGTTTGTAATCAAATGATTGATTTAACTTGTGTCGGTCTAAAGCTGTGGCACCTGTCTGACAAGCCCTGGCAGGTGTTTGATAGATTACACCTGGGGAAAGCTGACCTGGGACCTGCGCTTCTATTCTCTTAAAAAACACTCCACCACCCTCTCAGAACCCGTCGTGCTGGCTAGTGTCGTCGACTTATCACACGGCGTGTGTGTGTGTATGGCGTATGGAGAGAAAGATAGAGTGTGCATGCATGCGTGTGTGTGTGGCACGTGGAGTGTGTAACACCATCGGGTTATCCACTGTGTGTGGCGAAATTAAAGCGCGCATAAATCACATGCATGGCCCTATTTATTTCAGTCCCTTCCAGTAGATCACTCTGCAACCTAGCACATTAGCATTTTGCAATGTGATTTATGTCAGGCGGCTCTCCAAAACGTGCTTTTTTCTCCTCGCCGCTCTTTAAAGTGCCTTGCATCCTACTGACTCTGAATGTGAGATTCAAACCTCCTCATCTGCTGGTTTAATTCCACGGCACGTTTTCATTTTCTCAATCCGTCGATTGGTCTCTCTCTCACTCTCTCCTCTCTCTCTGTGTCTCATTTCCTCACCCCCTCTCTTGTGCTCTGTCATTCCCTTTAATCCCCTTACCCCCTCGCTCTCATTCTCTCCCTCTCCTTCTCTCACTACCTCTCTCTCAAATTCACTCACCCCTCTCTCTCCATCTTTCTCTCTCTCTCGCCCTCTATTTAATTCCCTCACTCCCGCTTTCTCGTATTCTCTCTCTCTCTCTCACCCCCCCCCCCCCCCCTCCTTCCCCCAGTTCTCTCCCTGGGATTCAAACATGTTGTTGTCCCTTGTTCTCCCGCTACTTGTTTTCATTTCCCATCTCCTTTGTCGTTACCCTGCTCAACAAGAAAATCAGTGAGAAAAACAAATCCTCTCGTGTTACAGTCTACCGCTCGCTTGACACAGTCAAATTGGTAACACAGTGAGCATTTCTCTTCCGTCATTTTGCCCACATAGCTGCAAGGGTAACTGTCAAAGTGGGGTGACATGCCAATTTTCTTGGAGCTCCCTCAGGTGGGACATCGACTGCCTACTCTGTAATGGGTCTCTGTTGGCCGGTGCTCAAAGATTGACTCTGGGAACTCTATACCTGTCAATTACTCAGCAGTGCGGATAATTATAGTCCTTCAACCGTGAGCTATAATAAAGCTATAATTTGAGTTTGAATATGGATAGCTTTCGTCAGGTTGTGATGTACGAACACATATGATAATGTCAAGACGTGTGCACGTGTGTGTGTGTGTGTGTGTGTGTTGACATCTTTGCGGAATGTCACAACTCACAAATGGTAATGTACAGCACATTTAAAGTTGACGTCCATTTTTCATAACGTGGTGTTTATCACAAGAAGATCACGTTCGGTATCGCCTGATGGGTGCTGGGTACATTATGCCTGCCCAAGCCCTTTAGGTGACTATCTCCCTGTTACTAGTTGAACGGTGGCTGACTGACGTTGTCATGGATGGATGGGGGGGGGGGGGGGGGGTGCATGTGTGTGCATATGTACATACACACACAGTACACACACCACACCGGTGATCCAAATCAAGCGTCTGCCAGATGGCTACCAGCGGCAGAACTCCTCTGTGTGTCACGTCTCATTAACAGCCACAGCAGAAGATTCCCTCTCCCATACGATTAGAGCCTGCCTCCGTCGCCTACACACATTCAGTACTATCCATCACACACACCGCCAGACCCAGCGAACATTCACTACACTCTTTAATGGGTCAAGTGGGCAATGGAATATAAATATGGTGTATCTTTATGATCTAACAGAGGAGACGGCGATGTATTCAACTCATGTCTTTGTATATCTGAAGGACCTGGAATGGATACAGAGGGAATGCAGAGAGTGTGGTGTGTGTGTGTGAGTGTGAGTGAGTTAACCTATAGCCTATATCAATCTACCTCTGTTACAGATGCATGTAATTGACACTCACGGTACATCTCCAGCACCATGGTGGCCTCCTGCGTCTGTCCCTGGGCGTCGGTGGCCTGGCAGCGGTAGATGCCCGCATCCTCCACTACAGCGTTGTAGATGGTCAGCCTGGAGCTGTCCTCCCCGGTGTGCAGGGCCACACGCTGGGACGACACGATGCGCTCCCCCTGGGGGTTAAACCACTCCAGCTTCACCGGCTCGCCGATCACTGGTGGGAGAGAGATAACTTATAGGTAACATTAAGGAACTGTAAAAAGAACCAAGACAAGCCGTAGACTCTAGAGCAGTATTTCCCAAACCTCCCCTTGAGTACCCCACCATTAGCTCCACTTATATATTCACAAGCACACTTGAAATAAATGGTAACCTAATCAGCCCTTGTTCAACATGGGAAAGATTATGCTTCTTTGAAATTTGATAAACTTGTTATCCCACTTTGGAGACAAGTAGGAGAAAAATGCAGTTGAATGATTTTCACACTTTCTAGTCTTTTTTGTTTACGCCCATTCAGCATCGTTCACACCCTCTTAAGCCTCAGCCCCACCCATCTCTTTAAGAATACACATGTACTGTAAAGACTTGAGTCAGCATGGCATTGTCCTCCAGAAAGTAGTCTCTCTATTATCCCCCTCCATTATCTCAGCCAATCATTGATCCTACCTCGCTCCCTATATAGCTCAGTGCTTTCTCCTTGGCTAAACTAGGCTAATAATTTAACATTTTTATTAATGTTTACTTAATAATAAGTCTGTAAATGAAGGGGTATTAAACTCAACCTCCTTACTACACACACTTGCCCGCCTGCACGCCAACCCACCCACACACACGCACATGCACATGAACGCGCACGCACACACAGAGTAAGTAATCAAATGTCTCGCCTTGGCCCTGATTAATATGCAATTCCTGTTTTGGCTGCATAGCTAGCAACTTTTTCAACAAGGGCCACAAGGGGTGGAGAGTGCCATATGCATACTACAGTTGTCTTCATCTGTAAATCACACTACTGGAGGGCCATAAACGCCCCAGTGTGGAGCACCGCTCCTCTGCCTATCAATCAGCAGGCCTGGGCACTAAAGTGAAAATCTCCCCAGGGGAGGGTAGTGAGGTCAGGGGCTGGACAGGAGAGTGACTGGGGCATGGTGGAGAGGTGGAGGGGCTTTGGATCCACAGAACCATAATCAAGAGGTGAAGAAAGGTGGCTTGTGGCTGTGATTGTCTGAGTGTAACAGGATCTTCACGGTGTTAATTGCCAGCAACTATCGTGAAATAACACAAATCAAAATGTTCACACTTTTAAAGTGTTAGTTTCATCAGCTACTGTACAAACATGATGTAAAAATGATGAAAAAGGGGGGTTTCGTGCTATGCAACAGGTGTAGAGGTGCTACTTTAAATTATCGAACAATGCATTGGAAGGTGATGTGCGACACGCTCTCACTTATAAAAACAAAATGTATTATCAATGCATAGTTAAACACACTCACACACACACATCTTGGCTGTAATTTATTCAACTCTACTGGTAGAGGCAAGGCGAGTCAGGAGATGTGTGTATAGTGGCATACAGTGTGTGTAGCCGAAACAAGTGTCGTGTGGGGAGAAATAATGTGTATGTGTGTGTGTGTACCCAGAAAGGATGTGCAGCAAGATACACTACATTACCAAAAGTATGTGGATACCTGCTCGTCTAACATCTCATTCCAAAATCACGGGCATTAATATGGAGTTGGTCCCCCTTTTGCTTTCCACTAGATGTTGGAACATTGCTGTGGGGACTAGCCACAAAAGCATTAGTGAGATCGGGCACTGATGTTGGGCGATTAGGCCGGGCTCGCAATCGGCATTCCAATTCATCCCAAAGGTGTTCGATGGGGTTGAGGTCAGGGCTCTGTGCAGGACAATCAAGTCCATCCACACCGATCTCGACAAACCATTTCTGTATGGTCCTCGCTTTGTGCACAGGGGCATTGTCATGCTGAAACAGGAAAGGGCCTTCCCCAAAATGTTGCCAAGCACAGAATCGTCTAGAATGTCATTGTATGCTGTAGCGTTAAGATTTCCCTTCACTGGAAATAAGGGGCCTAGCCCGAACCATGAAAAACAGCCCCAGACCATTATCGCTCCTCCACCAAACTTTACAGTTGACACTATGCATTCGGGCAGGTAGCGTTCTCCTGGCATCCGCCAAACCAGATTCGTCCGTCGGACTGCCAGATGGTGAAGCGTGATTCATCACTCCAGAGAATGCATTTCCACTGCTCCAGAATCCAATGGCAGCGGCTTTACACCACTTCAGCCGACGCTTGGCATTGCGCATGGTGATCTTAGGCTTGTGTGCGGCTGCTCAGCCATGGGCACTCATTTCATGAAGCTCCCGACAAACAGTTATTGTGCTGATGTTGCTTCCAGAGGCAATTTGGAACTCAGTAGTGAGTGTTGCAACTGAGGACAGACTATTTTTACATGCTACGCGCTTCAGCACTCGGCGGTCCCGTTCTGTGAGCTTGTGTGGCCTAACACTTTGCGGCTGAGCCGTTTCCACTTCACAATAACAGCACTTACAGTTGACCGGGGAAGCTCTAGCAGGGCAGAATCTTGACGAACTGACTTGTTTTGTGTAAATCATTTTTCACCCTGTGGTATCTAGTGGACACCCAGTATAGCCCATTTTGCCTTTGTGGCAACTAGTGACAACCCAAGTCTGGAAATTTGAGACTGTGGATGCCGATGCGATAACAGTTACGGACAAGATTGAAGACAACTCGATTACATTTTAGAAACAAAGTCTTCAGAACAGGTAATAAAAATGTTGTACACCGGCTATAATTCTCGTTTTTAGATTGTAATAACAAATACTCACGTTGTTGTCAGCCAGAAAGGTAGCTAACATTAGCAATGTCAATGAGTCATGGGTAGACAGGATCCAGCTTTGATTCTCGAGAGCTATGGCTATAAAGATGTTGTGTACTGATTGTAGAAGTGTAATTTTGACTATCATAGCTCTGCATTCATGGAAAATAACCTTGGCGTTGGCATGCATTCAGTCCACTGCCCTTCTGACTCCTAGCTATACTAGCTAGCTAATAACATTACTGGGATGGCCCCTTGATTCTTGAGAGCTATGGCTATGAAGATGTTGTGTATGGATTGGAGAAGTGTCATACTCGACTCTTCTGCATGAAACTAATTATTGGTTATACATAAATACCATGTAGTGAACATTACAATACAATCCTAACACCAGTGTTGTGTACATGTTTTTTTATGTAGGATTCCAGTTTTGAAGAGCCACAGACCAGCCAGAGACACAGGCAGGGCTGCAGAAAGAATTGGATAGGAAGAACTTGAAAGGGCTGCCCGACTGCAAGAAATCAAATCAAATCAAAATTTATTTGCCACATGCGCAGAATACAACAGGTGTAGACATTACAGTGAAATGCTTACTTACAAGCCCTTAACCAACAATGCCAATTTTTAAAGATATATATTTTTTAAGTGTTAAGTAAAAAATAAATAAAAGCAAACAACTAAAGAACAGCAGTAAAATAAAATAACAGTAGGGAGGCTATATACAGGGGGGTACCGGTGCAGAGTCAATGTGCAGGGACACCGGCTAGTCGAGGTAATTGAGATAATATGTACATGTGGGTAGAGTTAACATGACTATGCATAAATAAAAGACAGAGTAGCAGCAGCGTAAAAGGTGGGGGTGGGGGGGCAGTGTAAATAGTCCGGGTACCAATGATTAGCTGTTCAGGAGTCTTATGGCTTGGGGGTAGAAGCTGTTGAGAATTATTTTGGACCTAGACTTGGCGCTCCGGTACCGCTTGCCGTGCGGTAGCAGAGAGTACAGTCTATGACTAGGGTGGCTGCAGTCTTTGACAATTTTGAGGGCCTTCCTCTGACACCGCCTGGTATAGAGGTCCTGGATGGCAGGAAGCTTGGCCCCAGTGATGTACTGGGCCGTACGCACTACCCTCTGTAGTGCCTTGCGGTCGGAGGCCGAGCAGTTGCCCTACCAGGCGGTGATGCAACCAGTCAGGATGCTCTCGATGGTGCAGCTGTAGAACTTTTTGAGGATCTGAGGACCCATGCCAAATCTTTTCAGTCTCCTGAGAATCGAACCCACAACCCTGGATATAATAATAAAGATACAATATTTTGTGAGTATTTTGTCTATATAATTTCATTATCAGTGCAGAACTGTAGTGTTGACATACACTGAGTGTGTCTTGGTTTAACAAGTGACACCCATAAAAGTTCATAGCTTTCACCTGGATTCACCTGTTTAGTCTGTCATAGAAAGAGCAGGCGTTCTTAATGTTTTGTATACTCAGTATATGATGAAAATATAACATCAATAACATGTATTATATTGTAATGAGTTCTAATAAATTGTAATATTTGGGTTTTACATCATACACATCTTTTTTACAACATCTTGTTGCCCTACGCGTTCTCCACGGCTGGACAATGGTTACGAAGGTTGTAGTCAAGTGCTGCCAGTAGGGTTCCAGCCTCATAGACTGGAGGAGCGAAAGCAAACTGCATACATGAGTATGTGGTTCTAGAAGGACTACAGCTCAGATGTAGACCTAGATTAGGGTTGGCCTACTCCAGTCCTCGGGGGCCTGATTAGTGTCACACTTTTGCCTCAGCCCCAGCTAACACACCTGACTCCAATAATCAACAAATCATGATCTCCAGTTTAGAATGCAATTAGTTTAATCAGATGTGTTTGCTAGGGATGGGGGAAAAGTGTGACACCACTCCGACCCCTGAGGACTGGAGTTGCCCATCCCTGACCTAGATAGACAACAAATCAAGCAAGCCCCATCAATCCTAATCTGGATTACGATTTTACCATTTGACAACTATGGCAGAATTGCGTTTGATGACCATCAGTCTTAGATTTCCAGGGTACATACATTCCGTTTACGATGAAGTGAGTAAGTATTTTAATCATTGGATAAGAAGGTTATTTAGGCAGAATGAAGAACTAATGTTTCCAATCATTCAAAATAATTTTATGTTACAGTCTTACACTCAATAAATACGTGTATCTTTTGGGCTAGGTTTGTCTACATCTCAACCAGACAGCTCAAATGGGGAATAACAGTAATCTCTGTGCATTAGGCTAATATTGGGATAGTTACAGTACCTATGTCATCAATACTCAAAGTAAATCCTGGGTAGTTAATTTTCCTAAACAGCATAGCAACATAGATGCCTAAATTCTGCTCCAATACTCGACAATGGTGGGGTGGGCATTGATGTCGATTTATTACTTTCATGACTGAAAAATATTATTTCAGGTT